GCATGGATCACTGGCTGGTATTTCAGAGTTGGAATCCAAGAATCTTTCTTGCTCTTTTGCACACTTTTAAGGCACTAATAACATTAAAGCAAAACTTTGTTCTCCTTTGATTTGTACTACACTGTCACAAATTTGCTTAGTTGCTCGTAAACAAGAATGGTATTTTTTTAAGTGATTGCTGTAGTCCTATCAGTCCTATAGTCTGCTCTGTCAGATGACTGGTGGTGTTCTAACCTGATGGTCACCACACCTTATGCAAGGGAAGATGTTGAGGAAGGTAGTCCTTCGTGGTAACCTTGGCCACTGTGGCAATTGAACCTACGCTGTTGTCATCATGTTGCCAACTAGTTTTCAAGACAACTGAGGTAACCAACCCCTATGTACTCAATAGGCATTCGAGTGAAATCCTAGCTTACAAAACAATGCATCAAATCAGACAAGTTTTCCATTGCAATGTTTTGAGCACTGCTTCAATTTAATGTCCTTTTTAGATTTCAGCTCATGTCTGTGGTTCTGTAGTTAATATTTAAAAATAGTGGTGTCACCATACATCCTTGATTATAATTATTGGCAGTTTGTGTTTTCATCTTTTTCAGAATTGGGAGTTCAAATTCTGACAAATGTCTTGAAGTTTTTATGGGTAGAGTTTGAGTAATCAGCAATTAAAAGTCTGATTTCAACTTATAACATGGCATTAACTGATTTTAGAGCAAATGTGGGAGGATCTAGTTTATGCAGTATCAATTGGTAAAATTAATTCCTGAACAATTTCTGACTTCGTGCTGCCCACCGGCTAAAGCCGCCACCTTTACCTTAATGAATCTGTTCATTTAATATCAAGATGATGTAACATAACAAGTAAGAGTTCGCCACATATCCACATGTTTGTACAGATCAAAACTTCAGCCTGTTCTGGAGCAACTACTGTTTTAATAACTATACTCAAAGCTTAAATCTCTCAATTTGATTTTCTTTTGTGTTGAAATATTAGGTCAAGCTACCTGTGTTAAATGCTACAAAGAGAAACTTCTACTCCATTGAAGGGAGGGGAAAAGGTTGGATATCAAGGTTTCTTTCCTAAATCTGGCTCTTCCTAATGAGAAGAAATTAAATCTCATGTCATGAAGTTTTGAAAAAATTTTCAATTCATCAATGAAGTAAACCTAAATTTGAGCCTGAAATGTATTTGAGATTGTAATCATGTGATGTACGAGGAGGCTGTTTACCCAGATGCTGACATTTTCGGAATGTTTTAATGCACAACACCAAAAGGAAAATTTTGGGTGATGACATTGATAACTTTGAAGGCTGTGGGCCAGTTATTTTTATTGCAGAATTTCAGCATTTTGTACTGAAGTACTTTTATCAGCTTGAAAGAGCTAGTAAATGAATCATTGAAAAGCAATTTGTAATTAAAACATAACTGCAGTCATCTTGCCATAAACTTCGACATTGCTTAAACAAAATTAGAATGTGCAGTGCTTGGATGGGTGCAGGATGGTGGCAAAAGAAACGCTACTGCTGTATTGCGTGAACTTCCAAGACCTTCCCTGTACCATTATATGCTTTGTTATATTTTAACATGTTCATGGAATGCAGCTCTCTTTCTGTGCACTTTTGGGGGGGAGAAAAAGTTCGCTTGCATTCAAATCTTTTTTGTGCAAATTGCCTGGCACTGAGCATTGTGCATGCATTCAGGCAAAATTCATATCCCCCATTGTAAACATACCACTATTCTTGAATTGAGTGTTGTCGCAGTTAAATATTTCTTTTGTGAAAAAAAACTAAGCATGTCCTCCCTGCCCCTTGCGTGAGGTGTGGTGACCCTCAAGTTAAACTTTTGCTACCAGTTGTGCATCTCCAATGTGAGCAGCGTATGGTGACTTTATCTTTTTATAAACTTTCTTTTTGAATAATGGACACGTGAACAAGTGAAGTCATTGAAGTGGAAATGGGTGTGAGAATTGCACATGGATACTATGTCATTTTGCTTGTGAAATTTGGCAGTTCAGTTACCTATTACATCTTATGCAATCTCCCAAACACCACCTCTTCCTACCAGTGGAGCAACAAGGCCATGAGAACACAACACCTTGTCAGACTTTGTGATTTGCTGTTGTTTGCTATTTAGAGTTAATATCCTAGAATTCTGTCTAACTTGATGGGAACATCTCCGCTACAGATTGTAACATATCAAGAAGAGGACCAAGTAGCAATGTCTCTAGATGACTAGCAATGGGAATTAATGCAATGTTCCACCGTCTCCCTGATTCCAGAATGAATGTTGAGTCTTGCTTAAGAAATGCAGGAATATTACTGTCTTTACTGCCCTTGCCTTTTAGTCTTTGTTAAAGACACTTGAAGCTTGCTCTTCTGCTTTGAACAGAATTTAAAGTTTTGAACAAGTTCTGTTCCAAAATCCAAAGCACTCGATTGTAGAAGTGGAGAGGAAACACATTTAAAGGTCCGAGACAACAAGGTGCAGAGCTGGATGAACACAGCTGGCCAAGCAGCATCATAGGAGCAGAAAGGCTGACGTTTCGGGCCTAG